CTACGTCCAAAAATCAGCCACTAAAAATCCTATGGAGTACAGTTCTATACTGACACATGGGGTTGCCTTGAGTTGAAGTCAACAGCAACTGGTAAATGACAACTAGGAAGGAGCCCTGTTATGGAATATCTTATAAATCTGGCAGATGCATTTACACTCCACAGCATGATAACAAAGAAACACACGGTTTCTGGACCCTTGGGAACATGACCAGAGTGGTAGAGGATAAACCAAACAGCAGGAAGGCATCTGGGCCCAGGAAAGGCAACTACAAGGCTGCTGACATGATAGAGGCACGAGCTAGCAAGGTTCTGAGAAAGAAAAAAATGATAGAGGTCTGAAGGGATCTGGATCACTAGAACGTAAACCCCAAGAAGGCTGAGAGTTTGCCTGATTTGCTCACTGCTAGGTCCTGAGCAGGAGTCCCTTGGTGGTGGAAATGGTTAAGCACTTAGCTACAAACCAAAAGGTTGGCAGTTTGGATCCAACCAGAGGCACTCTGGAAGAAAGGCCTGGCGATCTACTTCTGATAGGTCACAGCCATTGAAAACCCTATGGAGCACAGTTCTACTCTGACACACACGAGGTTGACATGAGTCGGAATCAACAAGGCCAAATGGTAGATTCCAAGCACCTAGTAGGTTCTGGAAGCCAACAAACAAGAATGAGTCAAGGATTTCAAGATTCAAGGTCAAAGGACTAGCATTAAGATGACACTACTGCCACAGCTGACCAAAAAAGCAAAATAAGAATAGCTTATTTTCAGAAAGGGTTCTTTCCCATTACTTTTTGCTTTTCTCTAAAACTTTATTTTGGCTTCTAGTCCACAGAAGACTTATGTGATTTTGACATACTAGAATGTACTGTTGACAGTAGCATGAGTAGCAGGCATTCTTCCCTGGAAAGGATGGGTGAGATTTTTTAGTTTGATTTTTGGCAACGGAGGAGAGAAAATTCAGTGAGACTCTAAACTCAGATGTCATTTCTCACGAGACCTATCGGACCACTGCCAGCAGGCATGCCAATGGCACAGTGGTTTGACTAGACTCCCTATAAACCTTAATGACAGAGCTAGTTGGTCTCTGTGTGGCTGGGTCAGCTTCAGGGGCCTTGCCAACCTGAAGATACTCCACCTCCAGCTGGCCAGTCAGGTCTCTGGGGGTTCCTGGGGAGTTGATAATTTATATGAGAATTATCACCCTTTCAAATAGTTAAGTGAGATAAAATTCACGCACACAAACACAAGCACACACACAATTTGGTTTTCTGATAAAGTTTAAAAGTAGTTCCGCCCAGAGAAAAACCAAAGCATCTTCTGAAACCCCTTCCAAACTAATGATTATCTAAGGTGCCATTTGAGTGATCATGTTACACAGCCCCCAGCAGGCTGCCATTTGAATGGTGAACACCCTCAAAACTAGATATGCCAGGTCCCAGAAGTGGGAGTGGGGAGCATGCTCAGATTCCTTCTTGGACACCCACCTTCTGCAAGCTTGATCTTAGGAGATCTTTCCTTCCTTTTTAAATGATGTCTACCTCCTGCTAATATCCAACTAACAGAGAAAGAGCCCTTGTTTGTATAAATTCCCTAGCAAAAGTAAGTTGTTTTACTCCCAGAACAGCCAAAATATGTATCTTTTAAAAAAACTGCCAAAGGTTGCATGATGACAGTTTTATTTTTCCTTCTAATCCAAACTTTCCAAAGCCTGCTTTTCACAATACACTGAGAGGTAAATGCATGGGTCCAAATACCTTCACAGTTCCTTTTAATTTACAGACATCTAAACGTGTATAAAATTCCACTAGTTCAAAACGCTTCCTTTTCTTAAACGTATTTCCAGTTCAAATTATGTTTATAGCAGTCTGCAATATATTATTTCTAAAAATAAACAGTCATATAAAAAAATGGGTAGAGAAACAGCAGCATATCACTACCGCCACACTCAGTCAATCTTTCCCCTTACACCGTGTTCCAGCAGTGAAAGTCCTAGCCTGCCGGTGGGAACTATGAGTGCATCACCATGAATAGGCTTTCCCTGGCAAAGCACTGGCAGCTCTGTCTCTAGTGTCCATAAACGAAGAGTCACCAGTTCCTTTTCACAGACCGCTTGAGACTTAGTTCCTGAGAATCTCCCCCCACCCTCCAGCTAAGTATAAAACTCAAGACTTCACTAACTGCAGACTTTCTTTCTTCCTTTTAGAGAGGTTTTAAGCTCTGCTGATCACTACTTCTAAATCCCAGGAAATAGCTGCAGTTTTCAAATTAAAATGCAAAGTACTAAAAATAATATGCTATACTGGCTAATTTTTTTTTTTAAATAAAGAGTTTCAACTCGGTGTGTATTGATGCTTACATACATGAAACAATTAGGGACTCCAGAATAATTTAAATGAACTATTAGACATTCTGGGCTTTGAAACAGCTTCTATAAGACTGACTGACTATCCAACAAAGACTCTGCTAGAGTCCCTAAATTGACATTTTAAAAGTCTCTAATTACCCTTTTGGATGTTATTCCATTACTTCCATCACAATGAAGCAGCTCACTCTGAAAGCATCCAATTTTGATTTGAGTAAATAAAACATATTAATAAATACTAAAAGACTAAAGACACAGATTTCAGAGGAAAGGTGTCACCGGGTAGGTGGACAGATACAGTTCAGCCAAAAGGCTTCCTTAAGGAGAAATGTCGATTTATGCAAATACCCAGAGTAGCAGAAGATAGAGACATTCTTTCTCTAGAATCCCATAACAGTAACATGTCCTAACAAATCCCCAAAACCCCCCCGAACAGGAAACAGTAAAAAGGTCCTCCTTAACCCAGTACAGCTTTTTAGGCAGGCTTTCTCTTAAAAACCTTCAGATGAAGCTCTCCCTTTGCCCTGTTTTGCAACAAGATGATCAATGTTTTTCTGAAATAAACACAGAATTTCTCACTTTTTATGTGCAACAAGCCAAAGTTCATAACTGGTTGGGCGAGCACTAACTCTAATGGAATAAACCATCATTTGCTAAAGAGAAATACTGATAAGGATCTGAGCTCTAGTTCATAGCCTGAATACCCGAATATTCATCTATTCCGTACAATTTACAATTTTACATGCTCTCCAACCCCGAGTAATGTTTGGGGACCTCCTAGTACACGCAGAGGTTCCAACGCTGATTAAAAATGCCCAACCGCTGCTCAGTGCCCAAGAGGTTTCCCAATCCTAAATTGCCACAGCTCAAAAAAGGGGAAAGAGGGTGAAAAACTCACAAAAAAAACTCACGGTGATACAATTTTTCTTGGAAGAGAGAGTTCAGTTAATTAGAGATGGTCAAGTTATTAGAGGGCAAAGAGAAGGTACCGAAACAGCAGCACTCCCTAACCGAGACCCCAGGCGGCAATGAGGCTGCAGGCGCAACTGCGGCGCTGGGGCTGCCACTTGGCCGAACTGAGGTCGAAGAGCCCAGGTAGGGGCCACCACGAACTTGGGGACGACAAGGAGGCAGTTCCCTTTAGGGAGCGCTTATTGGGCGACGTAGGGAAACAAGATCCAGCCCCAGAAACGCTACTCTAACGGAGGAGAAATCTAGTTCCCACTGCCGGAGCCTGAGAGGAAGGCTCGGTGCCCGCACCCGGCCCCGGCCCAAGGAGACTTCTCTGGGTGCGGGAAGCGCCCCCTCTAAGGCCCAAGAGGGCGAGCGTGGCCGGTGAGAAGCCTCTCTACGCGCACGGCAGAAAGACCCGAAGGCCAAGCCCGGTTTCACAAGCACCCCACCTCGCTCCACTATACGGTACTCCAGTGCAGTTCGAATTAAAATGTCCTCCAGCCCCTGAAGCACCGCGGACCGTCTTCCGCCCCTCAAAGGGGGAGGGGGTCTCCACAGGACTCGGACTGCAGACGCGGGCGCCCCGGAATTTTCCGGCACGTTCCGCGCACCGCCCACCGCGTCCCGCTGCGGGACCACGGACTGCGCGTCCGAGGGCACTGTCGGCTACCTCACGCCAGACAGAGGGAAAAATCAAACAAAAGAACTTTTGCCAACTTTCCTCTCCAGGCACTCGCGGGTTTCTTCAATCTGGGCCCCATCTCCCCAGAACTTGCATTCAGTAGAGTAGGCAAGCTGACTTGGGGAGTGGTGTGCGGATGAAGGGACCCCAAAGTTTCCAGCTCATCCGTAGGTCTCGGGGAGAGCGCGAAGCGAACCCGTTTCTTCGCGGGCCCTACCCGAGCTCCCGTCTCCACCGCTTCGGTCCTTCTCGGGCCACGCAGCAAGACACCCCCCTCCCCCCGAGGCCGAAGAAGTTGAGAGTGACTTCTGGGGCCTCTGCAGCTGGGCAAAACTGCGACTTTCGCACCCCCATTCCCGGGGACCTTGGGGTAACTCGAGAGCGAAGCTTTTCTGTAGGAAGGGAAAGGGAGAAAGGAGTGGAGGAGCGAGCGCATTTGTCCCAGCTGATCCCTGGAGGACAAGCGCGGCGTCTAGCGGTGGGATCCCCCAGGTGGCGCGTCCCAATTCTCCAGGGGCGTCGCGGGCTGTCCTGGCGGCCCCGAGCACCTTGAACCGCGCGCGCGTCCCCGCCTGGCCCACTCACCGACTCTGCCGACACGCAGGCAACCAAGCCCAAGGTGAGCAGGACCCACGCGCGCCGCATATTCCCCGGGGACCGGCTGCTCCTAGCCGACGCTTGCAATCAGGGTGAAATGAAGGCTCCTGCCCGGCGATCGGCGCAGCACGCGCACAGGAATCCGGAGCCCAGCAGCCGCAGCGAGCGCGGCGAGGGCTCGGGGCTCGGGGGCGCTCTCCGCGTCCTCCTGCGCCTGATCCTGCCGCCCGCGGCTGTGCCCCCGAATGCGGCGCCTTCTCACTTGTTGGTTTCTAGACTCCCGACTCTAGGGAGACTGCTATCTGGAGCCCTTTCTCTGCTGTTGTTTTATTCTTCCGCGGACTCCTTCCTCGGTTCGCAGTTCAGTTTCTGATTTCAAGGAATAGATTCGATGGCTTGAAATACGGATGGAGCTGAAGTTTGGTGGCAGAATGGTTAAGGCGCGCTGTCCGCCCGGCCGGAGCTCCCGGAGTATCTGGAGAGATGCGAGTACGACCGGGGCTAGTGGCTCCGCGGCCGTGCCCCTCCTCCTCGCGCCGCCGCCGCCTCCCTTCCCGGGTCCTCCTCCTCCTCCTCCTCCTCCCCTTTTCCTCCTCTTGCCGCCTTCCCTCCCTCCCTCCCTCCCTCCCGAGCCTGCTTCTCTGGGCTCCTCCGGGCGTCTGGGTGAGAGGAGGCGGCAGTGTGACTCCCAGTTAAACCCGGGAGAAATTCCTACAGGATTACGCTCCGATTGGCAGCTCCGAGGACCAGTGGGCGCCGGCGGCTCCGCGCTGTGGCTGCTCTACGTCTGCTCATCCACAAACCAGGGTTCCTTCGTTGCTCGCTCCCGCTTTCCCCTTTTCTCCTTGCTTTTTCTCTCTCTACCTACACGGTCTCTTCTTCTCTATTTTCTTTTTCTTCACTTCCACTTCTCTGTCTAGAAAGATCGGTGAAAGAAACGAGAGACATATTTAGCTTTCTGCCTGCGAGAATTAGACCAGTAGAAAGACAACCGCTTTAAGAGTTAAAAAAAAAAAAAAAAGTTTACAGAAGCCTCCAGCCAATTCGAAGTGTCCATAAATCGCCAATTCATTTAAAATTGTATTTGAAGAGAAGACAATAAATGTGTGTTAGTATTTCCCAACTACTCCAGCCTCAGCCACTCACGCATCCCCCACAGCTACACACCCACCCTCACCACCCCCTATTCCCCCACCGCCACCCCTCCGAAAAAAAGGGAAGTGGAAGAAGGCTCCCATAAACCCAAAACGCAGGTATTTCAACGTTCATAATTTCATTAAGTGCTTAAATACCACTTCTACCTCACACGCACTGTAAGCCCCTAAGGCGTTTTTTAGGCTCCATTTCAGCATAGAGTTGTCAACGTTTGGAAGCTACAAATAAGGCAATTTGAAGAGAAATTGGATAGAGACCTTGAATAATAACAGATATAAGAAAACTTCATAGAAAAGAGGGATAAAGTAATTTCTAGTTTGAAGAAAATAATGAACATGTATTTCCTGAATGGAAGCAACTGATATGAAATATTTTTTATGAAGTTATTTTTTTCTTTCAATTCAGTGTCTCTGGTCTACTATATAACATGGCAACCAACAGTATATTCCCTTCCAGTTGCTACCACCATCTTTCTCTGTGATTTATGGAGTAAATGAATTATGGGACCATTCTGTTTCTAGAATGCTGCTCAAGGAGACCCTTCTCTTTTGTTCACCCTGTATTCTCATTCCTGGCACATAAAGGACACCCATTAAATATTTCTTGAATAAATTTTGCTCTAAAACTCAATCTATACCACATAAGAGTTCTGAGCCTTTAAGATACATAGATATATTTGTTGGTTACGAGGGATGGGGGGGTGGGAATACTAAATAGACAATAGATACGTGGTAACTTTGGTGAAGGGTAAGATTGTACACAATACTGGGGAATCCAGCACAACTCGTACAAGGAAAGGTCATGGAAGCTCCATAGACAAATCCAAACTCCCTGAGGGACTGAGTTGCTGGGCTGTGGGGACCATAGTCTTGGAGAACATCTAGCTCAATTGGCATAACACAGTTTATAAAGAAAATGTTCTACATTCTACCTTGGTGAGTAGCGTCTGGGGTCTTAAAAGCCTGTGAGCAGCCATCTAATATACGCCACTGGTCTCACGCCTTCAGAAGCAAGGGAGAATGAAGAAAACAAGATACAAGGGAAAGATAAGTCCATAGGACTGATGGACAACAGCTACCACGGTGTCCACCAGACTGAGTCCAGCACAACTAGATGGTGCTCGGCTACCACCACTGATTACTCTGAATAGGATCACAACAGAGGGTCCTGGACAGAGCTGGAGAAAAATGTAGAACAAAATTTTAACTCACAAAAAAAAAACCAGACTTACTGGCCCGACAGAGACTGGAGAAACCTTAAGAGTATGGCCCCCGGACACCCTCTTAGCTCAGTAATGAAGTCACTCCTGAGGTTCACCCTTCAGCCAAAGATTAGACAGGCCCATAAAACAAAACAAGACTAATGGAGCACAACAGTCCAGGGACAAGAACTAGAAGGCAGGAAGAGACAGGAAAGCTGGTAATAGGGAACCCAGGGTTGAGAAGGGACAGTGTTGACATGTCGTGGGGTTGTTAACCATTGTCATAAAACAACATGTGGGAGGTAAGGCCAAGATGGCAGAATGGTCAGATATTTCAGTGGTCCCTCGTACAACAAAGACCAAAAAAAAACAAGTGAATTGATTATATATGACAATCTAGGAGCCCTGAACATCAAAGGCAAAGTTAAGGAATTGGACTGAGTGGCAGGGGGAGGGAGAGACTGTTCAGAAGCAGCAAGGAGTTGTCAGACCTGACCCAGTGGGAGTCGGAGCTCTTCAGCCCAGATCAGCTTGGGGGTGAGCGGTGAGGCAAGCAGTGGCATTCCGGAGGCGTTTTCCACATTGGGAGAGACCCAGCGGCACAGGGTCTACTTGGCCATCTAGAACCAGTGAGAAGCATCCTTTCAACACCGAAAGATAAGTATTTGTGTCTGGCTTACCGCACGGATCAAAAACACCACTCTTAGGGAAAAACCTCTCTACGATTTACCTCCCTGCTCCCTGCTCTGCATTGGGTTCAGGACGGCTTCAGTGATTGCCGAGTCCACTGGGCTGGAAGTAGGACGTGTCATGCACCCTGAGCCATTCTCCTGGCCTTGGAGAGGAAACAAATTAACAAATGGGGGAAAAAATAATCTGCTGGCTCCCCTAAGCCAGGAACTCAGGGTAGGCACAGCTCCTTTGCCTAGGCACAGGCATAAGGGATCCATGGACTTTGAGTGCCTTTCCCCCTGCATAGACTTGTGTGGGCCCATTTCCATAGTGTAGCCCCTCATTACCACAGTACAGCAGGGTAGCTACCTGAAGTCCAACTTCAACTGTTTCAGTTGTGAAGTGGCAGGTTCATGACATTTGGTGCCACTCTGCCCATTAAGCAAGGTCTTCACGTACTCACATTAGGGGCCTAAGGACTGGTGGCTCCACGCACGCCACCTAGCCACTTGTGATAGGGGCCCAAGATTAAGAGGTGCCCCCCAGTCCTTACAGCCAACAGCATTGGGTGCTCATAGTCCGGCTGCAACACCCACCCACCTATGCACTCTAGGGAACAGGGACACACTTTCCTCCTGGACACTTGGGGGCAGCTGTCAGCCCCCTGCCTTATTCAGCCTGTGTCCCTCTGCTGCAGCCAGATGCCTGTGCCTACACCAATCATCCATGCCTGTCTAGGACTGTAGGTGAGAGCCTGCACCACACACTTGGTGGCTGACTACCTGGACACCTGAGCTGAATCCATACAGGAGGAGTGGCAGAGTCAGGCTCACATACTTAGTGGCAGGTCTGGCCACCTGGTGGCAGGATGTTGGAGCTTCAGGGACACCGGTGATCAGGCCAGCTCACACGAGCAGCCTATTAGGACATATCAAAACAAAACAAAACAAGAAGCTAGGACACAGTAAGCAAACATAAAACAAATAAATATAATAACTTATTGATGGCTTGGAGACAACAGTCAATATCAAGTCACATAAAGAGACAGACCATGATGGCTTCAGCAAGCTCCCAAAATAAACAATCTAGAAATTTTCCGGAGGAAGAAAATTTCTTGGAATTACTGGAGGCAGAATACAAAAGATTAATATACAGAAATCTTCAAGAGATCAGGAAGGAAATTAT